CAGAGGAGAAGGACGAGGAGGGCGTGGGCGACAGGGATTCAAGTGGCCCCCGCAATTGCATTGGGATGTCAGATGCCCCCCCTTACCTTTCTCGGCGGTTCCAGCGCCCTCCCCCTCGCCCTCCCCCACCGACCCCCCATTCTCGGAGATCCCAATGACCCCAATAGGGCCTCGAAGCTCTGAGGCCCCAGCGCGCCTAAACGCTCTGATATAGATAAACACATCAAAAAATTGAAGCTCCGACGGCCGCCTTTTGGAGCCCCAAGAGAGCCCAAAGAAGGCCCCAAGAGAGCCCCAAGAGGGCCCCAAGAGAGCTCCCAGAGGAGAAGGACGAGGAGGACGGGGGCGAAGGGGATTCCAGTGGTCCCCCCATTTGCTTTGGGATGTCAGATGGCCCCCCGTCCCTTTCTCGGTGGTTCCAGTGGCCCCCATCGCCCTCCTCCACCGACCCCCCATTCTCGGAGATTCCAACAACCCCGAAGCCGACTTAGGGGCGCCAGAAGTCCCTCCTCACCGCCCTCCACCTCCTCCTCCCCGCTCCTCCTCCTCCTCCTCACCCTTCTCCTCCCCATCTCTCCTCCTCCTCCTCTCCTTACCTTTCTCGGAGGCTCCAGGCGCCCCTCGGCTTGGCCCAAGGACCCCAAATGGCTCCTCCGAACACTCCCCCCCGAAATCGAACCTGACAATCCCAGGAAGCACTTAGAAAGTCGGGGGGGAAGGAGGCGAACGGGCCTTCAGACCGCCCGTCCACGGAGTGCTGACCTGCAGCTGGTGGCCCAGGCAATCCAGAAAACGCTTCGTGGCGACTCTGTGGAGCGCCTTCGGCCGAAAACTGTTTGGGTGGGAGCCCTCCTGGCTGCGAGTGAGCCACGCCTTCTGCCTCGCGAACCTGCCGAGGACACCTGGGGCAGTGAGCGCGTCCTTCCGGGCCGGCTTCTTTTTCTCCTCCGGGGGCGCCTCCTCGTCGAACTGCTTCTCGATCTGCAGACGGGAAGCAGAAGGCGTGAGATCCGCAGGAGAAGCGAAATGTCCACGACGCCCCGGCACACAAGACCCAGCACTGACTTGACTCCGGGGAATCCAAAAAGGCCTTCGAAACCGAAAAAACGTCAAGTCAGTGCACTGAGCCCACGAGGGCCTGAGGGCCACGGATAAGAGAGCGCGATAGGCGCGTGCCCCCGACAGCACAGGCAGAAGCAGGAAGAGGAAGGGGAGGAGGAGGAGGAGGAGGAGGAGGATGAGGAGGAGGAGGAGGAGGAGGAGGAGGGAGGAGGAGAGGGAGGCAGGGCGAAAGGACGTGAAGGTCACATATTTGACCGCCCAGCTCCGAACCTGTGACATTGGAAAGGGGGGGGGGCAGGAGCATGAGAAGGATGCGCGCCTGAAATCCAGCACCCCCAGCCAAACTTTAGGGATGCCAGTTTCGGAGATCCTGCTCCTGAATTTCAACTCCCACGGCCAAACCTTAGGGGTGCTAGTTTCGGGGATCCTACCCGTGAATTTTGGCGCGCCAGACAGAAACCCACCAGCCCTTTGGGCGCGAGTGGTTTAGAGAGCCAGCTCTGTCCTCAACCCCCCTTCTTCCCCTTCGGGGAGGGGTTTACCCCTCCCCCGACCCCCTCCCCCTGGACCTGGAGAGAGGGGGGCCGCGAGCGGTTAGAGCGTCCAAGATGACCTAAGATGGCGCCAAGAGGGCCCAAAAGCGCTCAAGATAGCCTCCAAGGTCGTCGTCGTCGTTGTCGTCGTCGTCGTCTTCGCAATCGTGGTCGTGGTCGTCGTCGTGGTCAATGCCGCGTCGGGTGCGCCGTCGCTGCGGCCATCGCCGTCGTCGCCGCCGCCGTCTCCACGACGGCGCGGGCAGAAGGAGGAGGATGAGGAGGAGGAGGAAGAGGAGGAGGAGGAGGAGGGAGCAGGGGGAGGAAGGGCGAAAGGACGTGAAGGTCACAGATTTGGCCGCAGCTCCGAATCTATGACCTTGGGAATGGGGAGGGGGAAGGAGCATGGGAAGGGGGCGCCGAAGTCCATCACCCCCCAGCCAAACTTTAGGGATGCCAGTGTCGGAGGTCCTACCCCTGAATTCCGACCCCTCGGCCCAAACTTGGGGATGCTAGTTTCCGAGATCCTACCCCTGAGTTCGGGCACCCCCCAGCCAAACTTTAGGCATGCCAAAGTCCGAGGAGGAAGAAGGGGAGGGGAAGGAGGCAAGTTACCAACCCGTTTTGGAGCCTGCGGCACTGCATGGATCGCGAAGTTGTTGGCGAGCTGGAACTGCGTGGCCAGGACGGGGTGGCCCTTCGCCCAGCCGCCGTCGGTGGAACACCCCAGGTTCGTGAACTGGCCCATCTGCTGGATGCCGCACAAGACGTACTGGCAGACCATGCGGCTCTGCGAGTTCGAGGAGTCGTCGGCGCCGACATCATGCCAGGCGAACGAAGCCTTGGCCAGTGCATTCGGCATCATCTTGACCTGTTTCCCCATCTGCAGCTCGTACAACACGGAGAACTCCCAGAGCACCTGCGCTGCCAAGCTGCGCAACTCACAGCGGCGAGCCGTCCCGCAAATGAAGTCCGAGAGCGGCATGGTGGTCTTGCCGCGCGCAATCCCTCGCACAATCGAAGACCACCGCTCCAGGGAGAGGTCGTCCTGCGGCGCCACCACATTCGCGAACGACACCTGCCCGTCCGCGGTGAAGTAAATCTTGACGGTCTCGCCTGGCGCAGACGAGGGGGGCCTGGGCCAGACGCACTGCCACCCGTCCCCGAGCACCACGTCGATCGCGTGCCCATTCTGGAAAGTCATCGACCCTAATAATGATGTCAACAAGCTTCTGGCACGCTGGCGGGATGACAGAAGCTTGAGTCCCCCTTTCTCCTTATTGTGCACCGTCCAGCGCAGAAGAAGAAACAACAAACCTGCTGTAGATATCGACGTGTCTGGAAGGCAGCGGCGCCAATATGGCAAAGTGTCGGTTCCCCTCGTGGACGTACATGTTGATGGAACAATATGATGCGAGCAAAACACCTCTGACAGATGGGCGTCCCACGTCTTCCAGCACATGCCAGTCCACTTGCTCGGGCGGCCCTCGCATTGACCAACTTGCAAGATATGATACAGATCCTTCATCGAAAAGAACGCGCGCTGCTTAGACCCGCGAGGTCGTGCGAACACAAAACACGTCAAGTCGACGCAGTCGCCGACGCTGTCAACCGTCAAACGAAGGGTGCCGACCTTGTGGCGCACCAAGTCTGTCTCCATCGACGTGACCGCCCCGACGCTACCATCTGGCCTGGCTCGGAGGAACCGCAGAGATCCCCCATCCCACTCCGCGCTCCCCCATCCCCCCCCCTGAAGGAGGACAAGGCCCAGGGGGGGACTGTGGCGACCCCCCTTCCCCTCATCCACCTCCCTCCTCCCCCCTCATCTTCCCCCCTCCCCTTCCCCCCTCCCCCACTGCCCCCCTCTCCTCCTCTACTCCTCCCCCATCCCCCCATCCCACCCTCCTCCTGGGCAAGGGGGATGGGGAGCGCGGCCGAGGCTGGGGGGATATCGGGCCTCCAAGGGGCCGCGTAGAGGCCCCCGTCGCCGTTCTCGAACACCACGTGCGTGAAGACCTTCTCCGCATCCTTGAGCTCCACGTCGTCGTCGCCGTCATTGACCCTGAAGAACGTGCCGATGCCTTCGTCTACCTCGAAGTTCCAGTCGCCCTCTCCCAAATCCACCCTCTCTGCGGTGATGAGGTGGGTTGCCACGTTGCTGCCGTCGGGCAAGCGGTCCAAGACGATGTACTTGTCGTGCTCCACCGCTCGCAAGGTCAGCGCGGGAGGATCAGCACCGTCGTCCCCGACGGGGGGGGGCAGGGGCGGTTCCATGAGGTCTGAAGCCGCTGAATCCACACCTCGAACGCTGGCGTTGGAGGGGATGGGGCCTGAAACCTCACCTCAAAGGTGACAGCCTAAATAGCTCGGGTCGGGCACCAAAAACATATCCTCTTCGTCGCCCTGCTCGCATCCTGCTGCTCTTCCTCTTCTCCCACCCCCCTCCTCCTCGCCATCCCCTCCACCGCCTCCATCCTCCTCATCCTCCTCTCGTCACCTCTACCCTCCTCCTCCTCATCCCCCCCCACCCCCACCCCCACCTTCGGCATCTCGGGGGCGGGGGGTGGGGCTAGCGCCGCAGGGGCGCGCAGCGGAGGAGGATGAGGATGAGGAGGAGGAGGAGGAAGAGGAGGAGGAAGAGGAGGAGGAGGAGGAGGAGGAGGAAGCCCCCTCGCTTGCCGCCGACGCCGTCGCCGTCGTCAGCCGTGCGATCGCGACAGCCCCCCATCGATGCGAATGCAACGTTTCGCTGGGGCCCCTCAGACCAGCGGTAAGAGTGAATGGCGAAATGAACGCAGAGCCAGGCACCCTGCATGGCGACACCATGCTTCACTGCTGATGCAGACCCACGGCTCGGACTACCATCGGGCTTGCTACCCTCGCGCGTGCAAGCCCATTCAAGCAACTAGCGACGCAAGGACGTCAAAAGACGGCCCAGCAACTAGCAATCGACTGAACGCCGCTGTCTGGGCCCAAGAACCCCGAACCTGGAGGCTGGCAGGAAATGGTGAAGCGCGGGGCGTCACCGCGAATGGAGATGCGGAAATCGAGCGGGGAGGTCGATGAAAAAAACCCGCTTTGCTGGCTAATGTGCTAGAGGTGGCGCTTCGTTTTCGCGGTGCCTGGCTGGAGGCCCAGGGGCGTTAGCAGCGGAAGGGGGGCGGGCGCTAGTGGAGGGTGCGACGGGGGGAGCAATGCGATTCCGACGAGAAGCTTATAGCAAGAAAACCTCGATCCCATGGCGACCCTGACCCTCTCCCCCATACTACGCCCAGAAGAACCAGACAACGACGCAATCAGGTCAGAAAAAAGTGGCACGCTGCTGAGTCAAAAATGCGCGTAGACAGCGCACGGCAGGGCCCCGAAGCCCATGGGGCCTGCATCTGGCCGACAGTCGCTCCTAGCTCAGGCCTGCTTTGCATCCGACTTTGAGCTGCTAGGTGCGCCAATCTGCACCTCGGTGCGCGCCTTCTTGGCCTTGTTGGACTCGGCTGCTTTCTCACGGCCTTTCTGAAGGCTCTCCCTGCGCTTAGCCTTGGTGCTGTTGTCAACGAGCTGCTTCGCGATGCTCAAGTTGGTCTTCTTCTCGCTCACCTTCGTCACCTTGGACTTCTCGTAGGACTCGTGAGCCGTGCTGACGGCCGTGGCGTAATCCTTGGGCCGCGGGGGGCGACGGCGGGGGCGGCGGCGGCGCGTGGCCGCAGCGACGACGCGGGGGGGGGGGCGGGAGAGGGCGTCGAGGGCGATGGCAAAACCACTTACAAGAGAAGGCGACATCGAACTGCAAGGACATCGCCCGTGCGCATGGAGTCGCCATCGGTCGGTCGGTCGGCCCGTCGGTCGGCCCCCTACCCGCCCCCACGAAGCCCCTCTAAGTCCGCCCCCCCCGAGAGTCCCTCTAAAACTAAGTCCATCTAGCCCCCGAAACATTCAAAGAAACAAAAGCAAACCAATCGATGTAGTTGGCGATCCTTCGACTTCCCGCTGAAACGCGACAAGGCGTTCGGGCCCTCGCCCTTGACCTTGAAGAACGTCTTGCAAAAGATCTTCGGGAGATCACCGATCTCGAAGTAAGCTTTGGCGTCGTCCCAGTTGCATTGGATCTTCGCACACTTCGACAAATTGTACGTCTTGATGTCCTTCTTGACATTCGAGTGGCGATACGTGATTTCCGACATGAACTCACCCGAAACTGAGGCGCGGTACGAGCCGAACGACCAATCAATGGTATGGTCAGTGCGGACCGCCCCATGCCCTGGCTTCCCGAAGTCCGCCAAGCGGTTGCCGACGGCTGCGGCCCTCGCGTCAGCCCATATGGTGAACACGTCGCGAATGAGCAAGCGCTTGTCGAGGTTCATCTCGGCCGAGCACTGGAGCAAGCAAACGAGGAGGTGAAGTCCTCGCGAGCGTTCGTTTTCCACAGCGTTCGGCAACCCCCTCCCCTTCCCACGCGCGCGCACGCCGTGGCGATGCTGGAAACGAGGGTGCGTTCGGGCAAGGGGGGGGCGGCGCCGATGGGGTGCAGGCCCCGCGGAGTTCGGGATGGGGGTGATTGGATCTCGGCGGGGCTGAGATCCAATCAAACGGGCGCGGGGTGGGCTCTGGGGGGGCCTTGGAGCCGCATAGGGGCCGCCTTGGGGTATATGGTGGGCTGTCCTGGAGGCTTCTTGGGGATGCCCTGGAGGTTCGTTTGGACCTCCTTGGGGCTCTCAGGCGAAGTTGCGGTTGTCTTCCAACTGCTGGTGAATGGAGGGGTCCATTCTCCAGCAGCTAAACCATGATTCGGCGTCCTGGGGCCGTAATGGAGGCGGTTTCGGGTGCCCTATCGATGGCCCTTGGAGCAGCGTTGGGCTCTCTTGGTGTATCTCGGTGCCGCCATGGGCCGTTGAAGGGGATCTTCTGGAGTTGCGTTGGGGCCCTCTAGTGGCTCTCAAAGGGGGGGCGAACATATTCCTGATGGTGGAAACTTGAAGGGCCCATTTTCCAGCAGCTGGAAGCTGCGTGGGCTCTCCTCTGCGACCGTCATGGAGGCCCCTTGGAGCCCTCTCGGAGCCTCACGAGGGGCCACGATAAATTGGGATGGCCCCCGAGGACAGGCGCCCACAGCGGGCCAGGAGGGGCCCAAGAGGGCGCTGGGGGGCAGCGCGTGCAGAGAAGGACACGCGGCACGGCGCGACGTCGGCAATGGGAAAAGAGACCATGACTGCAAGGGAGCACGCAACTACACTGAATGAAAATTGGACGGGTCAGGAGAGGACGGGGTGGCATCTTAACAGGCGCGAAGGGGTGCAGGAGGTTGGAGGCGCCTGAGAGGAGGGAGAAGAGCAATGGAGCGCGAACTAACGATGAGAACAAAGGATACTGGAGACGGCGATACAACCATAAAACACCATGCCACGAACGAAACCTGGCATAAGCACATCGGTAAGCCCCCCATCGCACAAGTCCTGAATCTGGGTTCTTTTCAACCACGCTGCCGACCTTCTCCAAGGACATGGAGGAGTGCTTGGAGATCAAGAGCATGCACTCGTCGGGGTACTGCTTCCAGAGCCCCGCGATCGTGCTCACCTTCGGTGCGAGGGGCCGCGCAAGAAGTGAAACTGGCGAGGGAGGGTAACATGGGGAGGAGTCGCACAATGGTCGGCGAAGAGAGGAACCGCATCCATCTCCCTATAGTCGTACACTGCGGCCACCCTCCATAAAAACCTCCTGCTCCCCCCATGCGACTCCTCCCTCCGCATCCCCGCCCCCTTATTTCCACGAACGCCCCACGTTGGAGAAGCGCTCGTCGGCTTTGAGCTTGCCAGCTGCCGTGCTGAGCAAGCTGGCCCTGCTCTTCCACTTGTTGTGAAGCGGAATGATGTGCAGTGGCTCGGCGATGCAACTCTCGACCATCTCCTGCAAGAGACCGAAGAGAGACTCGGTTTCGTCATCAACCAGCTCGTCGCCCGTCCTCGGCGGGCGCGGAATCCTCAGTGCCGACGGCGAACACAGGAACTCCTCTGAGCCTGTGCGCATCATCGGGTTGGGCGATGCCGACAGAGCCTGGCCAGCCTTGCGAGACATGGCCAGAAAACAGAGAATGTGACCCAGGCGCTGGCGCGCGCACAAACTCACTGAGCCTGACAGCGAATAAGAAGAGAAAGACGGCACACGGATGGCCCATCCAACGCGATTTGGCGAGCTGGGTCAAGGCGGAAAGGGGGAGGGCGGTCAAACCCAAGGGACCTTGACAACTGCGTCTCGCCACAGAAAACATTGCACAGCGTTCCTCCCCCCCACCTGGATGCCCGACGCTTTGCCCACAACAGCGCCCCAAATCGCGGTGAAGGGCGGGCGCCCCGCCGGCTGCAAAACCAGACAAACATATGATCGACAACGTCTGAAACCTTCACTTTGGCCAATCAATGGCCGAAATCTTTGCACGCGTCTGAATCGGCACGGATGTGCTGCCCAGGGAACGCTGATGCAAAAGGGAGGCCGCCAACCACCCGCCCGAAAAAAGAGCAAGTCCCTATGACATGCCACTGGATTGCGCCCCTCCCACCCTCCTTGTTTTCCCACCTCCTGCCTTGCCCCCCTACTGTCCATGACCCTGCCTGGACAACTGGACATGACCCTACCAATGTCCCTACTGTCCATGACCCTACCTATGTCCCTACCTATGTCCCTATGTCCCCCTACTGTCCATGACCCTACCTATGTCCCTATGGCATGCCACTGGACAACTGCCTCCCACCCCCTTGCTTTCCTACCTCCTGCCTTGCCCCCCTACTGTCCATGACCCTGCCTGTCGTCCCCTCCTGTGTTCCTCGCGGCTACCAGTAACCCCCTGCAAGCGAGGGGGGAGAAGGGCGGACAGGGAGCAGGGAGGGGTCTGCACAAGCATGTCAATGCAAAGGGATAGTAGGATAGGGGGCACGAAGGTCTGAGAGGAGGATGGGAAACAGGAGAGCGAGATTGCAGATAAGGAAGGGAGCAACAACGGCGAGAATGATAAGGAGGAGGGGGCTAGCTCTAAAGGAAGAGGTTTGTTATGATGATAGCGGAGGCGGCCAATGAAACGCGACGCGGCTAAGGCACCGCGCGGAGAACCAAACAAACTTATACCAAACCCAAACCCAGCACTGACGTGACTGTTTTCTGCCCCCCGATTTCGGGCGTCCAGGATCGATGAAAGGCTGGAGGTCAGCCGGCCCGACCCTAATCCGAGGCCTGACGGCTCGCTGGCCAACGATCGTTGCGCCTGTCGGGGATCTTCTGACCTGGGTCAATCCAGACCTGGGTCAGCAGGAAACCAAAAACTGCAATGCAGGAAAAAAAACTGCAACGCAGGTCTTCGCAGACCCGGGTCAGCCAACAGGCGCGGCCGCCTCGCGGCCACGAGCGGCTCCCTAACCCGGGCCAGCCAGAGGGGGTCTTCGCAGGATCCTGCAGGATCCGGCGCCGTGGCTGACCCCCGTTTGCATTGACCCCCGCCTCTTCCTCCTCCTCCTCCCTCCTCGTCGTCGTCCTCCTCCTCCTCCTTCTCCTCCTCCTCCTCCTCCTTCTCCTCCTCCCTCTCCTCCTCCCTCTCCTCCTCCCTCTCCTCCTCCTCCTCCTCCTCCTCCTCCTCCTCCTCCTCCTCCTCCTCCTCCTCCTCCTCCTCCTCCTCCTCCTCCTCCTCCTCCTCCTCCTCCTCCTCCTCCTCCTCCTCCTCCTCCTCCTCCTCCTCCACGGGCAGGCCCGCGGGGCAGGCCACCCATGGGGACCGCCGCCGCGCGTGAGGAGGAGAAGAAGGAGGAGGAGGAGGAGAGGAGGAGGAGGAGGAGGAGAGGGAGGAAAAGGAGGAGGAGGAGAAGAGAGAAGGAGAGGAGGAGGGAGGAGGAGAGGGAGGAGGAGAGGAGGAGGAGGAGGAGGAGGAGGAGGAGGAGAGGGGAGAGAGGGAGGAGGAGAGGGAGGAGAGGGAGGAGGAGGAGGAGGAGGAGGAGAGGAGGAGGAGGAGGAGAGGAGGGAGGGAGGAGGAGAGAGGAGAGGAGGAGAGAGGAGAGGAGAGGAGGAGAGGGAGGGAGGAGGAGGAGGAGGAGGAGAGGAGGACGAGGAGGGAGGAGGGAGGAGGAGGAAGAGGCGGGAGGAGGAGGAGGAGGAGGAGGAGGAGGAGGAGAGGGAGGAGGAGGAGGAGGAGGAGGAGGAGGAGGAGGAGGAGGAGGAGAAGGAAGAGGAGGAGGAGGAGGAGGAGGACTGTGCGCCTTCCTTGAGGAGCTGGGCGGCGGGGGAACGACAGGAGGGGGGGGGATCTGGCCCAGGAGGGGGGGCGACGCCGACCTAAAATCGGCAGCGCATCGTCGATGCACTACGATGGGCTTCCGATCTCGCAACCGTTACGTTCCCGGGCGGGGACCATCGGGCCCCCGGCGGCGATCGTTGGGCGATTCGGGGCCGATGTAACATCCCTCCCTGGGCCTGTATCCCCCCGCGACCGCTGCCCCTGGAAGGAGGAATGCTGAGGACTGGGAGGTCGAAACAGAAGAGGATTAGGAGGAAGGGGGGCGGGTCTCGTGACCCTGCGCCTGCGCCTCCCCCCGACCCGAGCGACGTGGGAGCAGGAGAAGGTGGAGAAGAGCGAGCCAGGGCTTTTTCTCTCTGGGTGACGCCTCCCGCGACCAAGGGCCACGCGCCGTGCACACCGACGCCTGGGCCCACGGTGGGCGAACTGTGAGCATGAAACCTGCCGCGCGGGGGAAGGACTATGATTTGAAATCTGGAACCAAACTTATATGGGCGCAGAAGCGCACGCGCACGGGCGCCCTGTGCGCTCGGTAGCGAAAGCACATCGCAGTTGTAGCCCGTTGCCCTCCTCCTCCTTCGGGTGGTCGTTCACGTGGGGGCCATGCGCGCGGGGTGAAGAAACGCAGCTTTCGTGCACGTTTGGGGCCCGCGGTGGCAGTCTGAGTCGTGCGGGTCACCTGTAGGGCCTCCTTCCTGTAACACTCGCGCCCCCCATAGCGAAACACAAAAACACAACGCACAACAACAACGCAAGGACACTCTCTCAGGCCACCCCGGCGGGGCCCGTGGGTGTGTCCTCGCCCCCGGGGCGAGCGCACTGCCCCAGGCCACACGTTGCAGTTGTTGCCCCGGGGGGGGGGGGGAGCAACGCGCAACACCTCTGTCATACGCTAACGAAAATCTATATGTGTTTCCGAATCTCCGTTGGCTCCCTTACTGTTCCCCACGCACTCCTGTGTCCGAAAACCGACCACGCGCCAGCGAGGCCAGCTCCTCCTCCTCATAGGACTCCTACGGAATCGCGCAGGACCCTTAAAGATCCTATAGGATCCCAATAGGATTCCTAGGGAATCGTGCCGGACCCTGTAAGGATCCTATAGGATCCACCTAGGGTTCCTATGGAATCGTGCAGGACCGTGTAAGGGTCCTATAGGCTCCCTCCAGGGTTCCTATGGAATCGTGCAGGACCCTGTAAGGATCCTATGGGATCCCTCTAGGGTTCCTATAGAATCGTGCAGGGCCCTGTAAGGATCCTATAGGATCCCTATAGGGGTCCGATGGAATCGTGCAGGACCCTGTAAAGATCCTACAGGATCCCTCTACGGTTCCTATGGAATCGTGCAGGACCCTGTAAGGATCCTATAGGATCCCTCTAGGGTTCCTATGGAATCATGCAAGACCCTGTAAGGATCCTATGGGATCCCTCTAGGGTTCCTATGGAATCGCGCAGGACCCTGTAAGGATCCTATAGGCTCCTCCTCTATAGGACTCCCATGGAATCGTGCAGGACCCTGTAAGGTTCCTATAGGACCCCTCTAGGGGTCCTATGGAATCGTGCAGGACCCTGTAAGGATCCTATAGGATCCCTATAGGATTCCTATGGAACCGTGCAGGACCCTGTAAGGATCCTATAGGATACCTATAGGGTTCCGATGGAATCGTGCAGGCCCCTGTAAGGATCCTGTAAGATCCCTAGAGGGTTCCGATGGAATCCTGCAGGGCCCTGTGAGGATCCTATCGGACCTTTATGAAGGTTCCGATGGAATCCTGTAGGACCCTGTAAGGATCTGATGAGATCCCTATAGGATTCCTATAGAATCGTGCAGGACCCTGTAAGGATCCTATAGGATCCCTATAGAGTTCCGATGGAATCGTGCAGGGCCCTGTGAGGATCCTATCGGATCCCTATAGGGTTCCGATGGAATCCTGTAGGACCCTGTAAGGATCCTATAAGACCCCATATAGGATTATTATAGAATCGTGCAGGACCCTGTACGGATCCTATGGGATCCCTATAGGGTTCCCATGAGATCGTGCAGGACCCTGTTAAGGATCCTATTAGGATCCCTATAGGGTTCCTATGGCATCGTGCAGGGCCCTGTAAGGATCCTATAAGATCCCTCCAGGGTTCCTATGGAAACCTGTTGGACCCTGTAAGCATCCTATAGGATCCCTCCAGGGTTCCTGTGGAATCGCGCAGGACCCTGTAAGGATCCTATAAGATCCCTCTAGGGTCCCGATGGAGTCGTGCAGGACCCTGTAAGGATCCTATAGGATCCCTATAGGATTCCGATGGAACCGTGCAGGACTCTGCAAGGATCCTATGGGATCCCTATAGGGTGTTACTATGGAATCGTGCAGGACCCTGTAAGGATCCGATAGGTTCCTCCTTATAGGACTCCGATGGAATCGTGCAGGACCCTGTAAGGATCCTACAGGTTCCGCCTTATAGGACTCCGATGGAATCGTGCACGACCCTGTAAGGATCCTATAGGATCCCTATAGGATTCCTATGGAACCGTGCAGGACCCTGTAAGGATCCTATAGGCTCCCTCTACGGTTCCGATGGAATCGTGCAGGACCCTGCAGAGGGGTGTGCCAAAATGATCCCCGAGAGGGGTGTGCCATAATGAAGCCTCTGAGGAGCTCTCTGTGGAGCCAGGGCCACGATCCTCGAGAGGGGCGTGCCGAAATAAAGCCTCGGTGGAGCTCCCTGTGGAGCCAGGGCCACGATCCGTGAAAGGGGCGCGCCGAAATCAAACTTCGGTGGACCTCCCTGTGGGGCCAGGGCCACGATCCTCGAGAGGGGTGTGCCCAAATCAAACCTCGGTGGAGCTCCCTGTGGGGCCAGGGCCACGATCCGTGAGAGGGGTGCGCCCTTTGGGGCCTGTATGGGGCTCCGCAGCAGTCCCGAAAGGACCTGCCGAGCAACGCCGCCGGGCCCTGCAGACCCCCGCAGCGGCCTGGCGAGGCCTCGTGGCGTTGCTCGGACCAGGGGCCCTGCAGGGCCCGTGCGTGGCCCCGTTGTGTTGCTCGGGGGGGGGGGGGTCGAGCAACGGGCCTCCAGTAGTGTCCTCGCGAACAACAACAACAACAACAACAACAACAACAACAACAACAACAACAACAACAACAACAACAACAACACCACCAACAACAACAACAACAACAACAACAACAACAGCAGCAGCAGCAGCAACAACAACAACAATCACAACAACAACAACAACAACAACAACAGCAACCTCAACAGTAACATCAGCAGCAGCAACAGCAGCAGCAACAACAACAACAGCAACGACAACAACAACAGCACCAACAACGACAACAGCAACAACAACAACAACAATAACAACAACGACAACGACAACAACAGCAGCCACAACAACTGCAACAACAGCAACAATCATTCTAAGTTTGTTCGTTATTACTTGCACGCGTGTCACTCAAAGCGAATTCCGCGCACCCTCGATACCCGCCCTGTTTGTCTTCGACCACACCCCCGGCTGAGGGGGATTATTTCTCTTTGCAAGGGGAGGCGGGCTTAGACAGGCGGGCGAACCTGAACGGGCGGACAATCCTTCGTGGCCGTACACATCCCCGCCATTGGAATTGGTGTGGGCCGTCCAAAAAGAGGAGGGGGACAACGAGGGAGAGTGGGAGGAAGGGAGGGGGAGGGACGAAGGAAGAGAGAAAACGCAAGGAGAGAAGGAGCGAAGAGGGGGCGGTTGAATAGAGGCAGAGAGAGAGAGAGAGAGAGAGAGAGAGAGAGAACAACAAACAAAGGCAGAGAGAGAACAACAAAATGAGAGACCTGCACTCTGTTTTCATTCAGCAATGTGTCTAATCAACTCTGCCACCGTCATCACGAGCTGGCCCACGACAGAATGAGAATGCTAAAGAGTATATACTCGGCATTATGCAATAGCTGATTCCCTTGAAACGTGGAGTCGGAACGGCACCGCGCAAGAAGAGGGAGAGGGGGGAGGGAAGCTTGAGCGAATATATAGTGGAATACAGGGGAGCACGGTGAAGACGCCGTTGGGTCCCTCAATCCCGTGCCCGTTTGCAAGCACACTCCGCACTAACATGAGAGACCTGCACTCTGTTTTCATTCAGCAATGTGTCTAATCAACTCTGCCACCGTCATCGCGAGCTGGCCCACGACAGAATGATAATGCTAAAGAGTGTATACTCGGCATTATGCAATAGCTGATTCCCAAAACGTCCCGAAAGGTAGTGAGCTTATGAGTTGATTGAGTATTGGTAAGCACGTTGACATACAGCCGTACTGCACAGTATTTTGGCCAGGAGCTGGGAAAAACGGGGTGGGTAAGTCTGGGCCTGGGATGTCATACGTTTGCCCTCCAGCTCCACGTGAGGTTTTCCAGTGAAACAGCAAGTCCCCCGACCGTGGCACATATACTTATCGCACAAGCTGACATCAAAGGGGTCGCAATTGCCGAACATGAGTTGGGTACGCTTTCGCCACGGGGTTCCAAAGGCACACTGGTCGATAATCTTAACATGCACCTTGGGATCGTTCGCGAACTGGATGAAGCCTGGGACCCACCAAAGTAAACTTGTCGCTGGGTTCTCGACGGCCCACGGGATGCCAAGGGCGTGGATGTACCGAATGAGCTTGAGGATCCTGCGGGCCTGGAGATTTCCGGTCCGAAGGGCTTCCAGATCATTGGCCGAGAAGGGTTTGGCCGGTTTCGTAACACCCCAGGGCTCAGCACGCGAACGGATCACGTTGGTTCTGTGACGAGCGATGCCCCAAGAGCGGCACTCGATAGCGATCATGGCTGCAACCAACTTACCATCTTTGGCCTCCGAGCACAAAAGCTGGATGTTCTTCAGAAGTGTCAGATCCAAAGAGTCTGAAATAGATTTGTCCCACAGCCGAGCCCGAATGCCGCATCTGCCTGCTGCTCGGCCCACACCGCCTGCGCCGCCAAAAAGATCGGCTAGGTACGGCGTCGCTTCTTTGGGGCCGAGCTCGGGATGACGGGCGGCGCGATGGCCGAGGGGTCGATCTGGCCGCACAAAAGGGGCCCGAGCTGGAGCTCGCACCTTTGCACGTGAGACGCCAACGAGGCGCTCAGCTTGTCGACGCTCTCGACAATATTGGCCTTGCTGTCGTACCTCAGCACCGACTTGTCCGCCTTCCACCGTCCCCTGCTCTTGATCTCGGCCCGGGTGCGATACTTCATGGCGGCGTCGATGGAGGCGCCTGAGTGCCTTGCCTGATAAGGCACGGCCGTCAGCCCCAGCTTCTTGCAGGCGATCTTGAACTGGCGCGTGTAGCTGCTGTACTTGAAGTTGAAGACCTTGGCCTTGGGGTCGCCTGCTCGCAGCGCAGCAACCACCGTCGTCAGGTAGGGCACCCACCTGCAGCTCAGGTCGATGCTCTCGTCCGTCGCGCACGTCTTGGACGCCGCTCCCCGCCCCTGCCGGAAGGCGAAGCAGATCCACGAGGCAGAGAGCCCATGCGCCGGGGCGAGGAGGTCCTCCTTCAGCAGCTTCAGGGGCTCCGAGGGCCGCATGTAGGTCACCAGCATGAACAGCGCGTACACCCCCATGTTCCAGAAGTTCGCGCGGCACAGCTCCCAGACGATGGCTGCCCAGATGCTGAAGGCCAGGGGGCGGCGCGATCGTGGCGGGCAGCGGCGTCTCCAGCCTTTCAGAGCCCGGTAGCACCGGGAAAGATGAAGGCCTCCATGCCGCCCGAACTCGGGCAGGAAGTGCCCCAGCCCGGCCACGAGCTTCTCGCCCTTGCTGAGGTTCTCGCCTTGGTCGAAAAGCTCTTGCAGCTGCCGCACCACCGACGCGCCCACCTCGGCAGCCACGCCGAGAGGCTCGCCCAGCTCGCGGGCTCGAGCCCGCCAGGCGTTCACCGCGTCGCAGTAGTCGGTCTCCGTCTTCGACTGAACCGCGCTCGACTCCAGCGGCAGAAGACCCAGCCCCTGCAGCCGCTTCGCCTCCACCGGCTGGCGCGCTCGCCCGACCTGCGGGGCCGCCAAGACTCGCACTCGGCGAGCCGGCCGCGCTTGAACCTTCACGGTGTCGGAGGTCGCGTCGCTCTCGTCGTCCTTGTCTGTCACCTCTCCGTCGCTCAACTCGTCGAGCGTCCGTTGCTCCTTCTCCTTCGGGGCCTGCTCCAGCTTCGCCACCAGCGCGTCCCCGGACGCCAGACGGCGGGCCCGGGTCGCCCTGCCAATCGCGGGCGCCGGCGTGAACGTCACCAGGTTCCTCGAGACCACGGGCGCCGCGGGGATCGACGTCGACCCGCGGGGCAGGCGGCCTGATTGCGCCTTCGCCCGCGGCACGGCGCGGGCAGGCCCCAACCTGGGGCCCCTCTCCATCACGTCTGAGTGGTTCAGGAACAGCGCGGGAATCGCCAACAGAGCCACGGTCAGCACGTGAGCCAACATGTTCTACCGAAAACCGACGGGACGGCTCATCCGCAGTATTCCACTCGGAAGGTATCCAGCGAAAACAGACTCGCAGTCCGAGGGCCAAGCACCACGACCCCATGCGTCTCATACACATCAGGGTCCTGAAGTCCGTGGTGCGCCCCCGAGCGAAGGCTAGACACACCCCCATGTTATCAACCAAGAAGAGCACCCTCGCGTTCCTGACTTGGCACTCGCTCACCAGCGCCTGAAATCCCAGGACCAGGGCCCTAGCCTCCAAGGTGAAAATGCCCTCGTCAAAGTACTTCCAGGGGCCCGCCAGAAGGGTACTCCAGTGGGCTTGCGAGAGCAGCTTGTGGGGGACCTCCGGGAAGCTAGAGTCCACATCATACGGCCTGTCGAACTCCCCCTCGTCCGCCTCAGATCCAAGCTCCTCAAGACTCCCGAAAAACCTCGACCGGGCAGAAACTCCAGGAAGCTTCCGAAAGCGGCCCCTCTCCAGGATCCTCCCCACTCCGAGACGTCCTGAGGGCCCCACTCTGAGACGGTGGCCCCGAACCCCTCCTCCGAAGCGCCCGTGGCCACGACACCAGGGGACCAGGGCAGCGCCCACGAGGCATCCATCAGGAACAGGAGGGAGGCAGCGGTCAGCATCTCCTGCCTAGCGGTGTCCCACAGCGGCATAGGGGTAGCGTAGTACTTATGTATGAAGGCATAAATACTCCTGAAGACACTCATCATGCTACGATTGATCAGCGCGCAGAAGGCGAGGTGGCCCAGCAGCACTTCCCAGACACGTCCAGACAGCTTCCGACACGACAAGGCATACAGAACACCCTGGCGCACCTTCCACAGTCGAGCGGGCGCAGGAGAAACTCTAAGGCCCTCGAGGTCTATGTGGGCCCCCAGGGCCTTCGACGAAGTGGCACTCACCTCGCGCTCGTGGGCCACGAGCCCAACGCTCTCGAAACGAGCCGCCGCGTCGGACAGGATGGACGAGGTATGAGAGGGATCACAAGAGAGAACACCCAGATTGTCAACGTAGATGTAGTGACATATCCCGGAGCCCTCCAAGACGAGCCCCCCCTTCTCGCCCTCGCCTTTCTCAGCAAACCTGAAGACCCCAGGCCGACCACGATCGCGAAGGAGGGCAGAATCACGAAGACCAGGAACATTAGCCATACGATGCTCACCCGCTTGCTGGCAGAAGTAGAGTGACCAAGAGAAACGCATAGGAAGAGAAGCCCAACATATGTCGACCTGGTCATCAACACCCAAGACGCTCCCGCCAACATTGGTTCCCACGACCTTCAGTTCCCCTGCTGTGGCGGCACCCAAACCGAAGTAACTCGCCAGGCCCAAGGGAAGACGAAACCGATGGAAAGCGTCCTTAACATCCGCCAGCCCCAGACACATCTGGGCGCTACGAAGTTGATCAGGAGTAAGACTAGAGCAACCAGGCGGAGGAGAAACCTCGATCCTCGCGAGGCTCTCTGACGAACAGAGGTGGACTCCAGGGGGATCAGCAAAACGCCGATTCGCACGACGAGCATCAATGATGAGCCGACTCTTACTTTTACCGGCCTTCTTCACAAAGAACATACCGACGTGCTCCTGCGCCGAACCAGCTGGCAAAAGCGCGACCAGCCCAATCCGCAGAAGCGCCCGCATCAGCCGCAGAAACTTGCGGCGGCTGCGAGAAAGCACAGGGTCCCAATAAGGAGTTATAGAGGGCAGCGACTCCTGTCGCTCCAAAAAGTCCGTCGAGGTGCGCAGCATGCGCTCGTAGTTCTGCTCCAAGAATTGGCTCGCCTCTGGGCCCACAACCTCCTGCACCGAAGGGGCGCCGACGAGGCTGTCAGGCAGGCTCACAGAGGAGACATTGGAGAAACTGGCAAGGTTGTGTCCACCGGGCTCTGCATCGTACACAGCCCGGCCGTGCAGCAGCTCGAGAAAAGCCGCTCGCCGGCTAGGGATCGCGACGCCTGAGGTCAAAAGGGAAGAAATCCGGTCTCTGACGCGCGCATGCACACTAGACTGCTCTGAGGTACGCGGCGGCCCGTACTCGGGGCGATGCCGGTCCCCAGCCATCCAATTCAAAGCGTTCACAGTTGCGTTGACATCAGCATTCAGTCTCCGCAAATGGCCTCGCAGGCCAGAAGCCTGTCGGCCACGTCCGCTGGGCACGGCAGGTGCCGGGGAGAGGGGAAGTGGAAAGAGCGGCAGCATGGCAACGCGCCTCACACGGCTGTCACCTGCCACCGAGTCTGGGCCTCCAGCGTCGACTCGACCACGGTCGGCGCCGGCCCCGAGCATCACCCCTGTCCCGGCAACTTCACCTTCTCCGCCTCCGCGCCGGCTCCCTGTTTGGGCTGACCACGTCCTCCGCCCTTCGGGTCGCCCTTGGGCCCCCCGCCGCGGCCGCCTCCGCCTCCGCCTGCGCCAGGAAGGACAGGTTGACTGCCCTCAGCGCCAGCGCCCGGATGCAGCCCGCGCGCCTTCATGCGCATGTTCTCGATCTCCACCTCCTCCTTCGCGCGGCGGCGGGCATGCGAGCGCAGCTCCGGCGGCGCCACCGAGGCCGAGTTGGCCAGAGGCATGAAGTGCTTCACGCCCTCCCAGTTCGCGCGGCCAGGAGCGCCAGTGGAGTACGCCTCGATGATCTGGCACACCCTCCTCGACACGGCCTCGATGCTCGCCAACGATGGCCCGTTGACCTGGTCGTAGCAGCCGCTCAGGTACAGGATGTCCAGCAGGAGCTTCATCTCGATGCCCGTGCGCTCCTGAGGGCTGACGCCCGCGTCCCGGCACCATATGGGATAGAACTGGCGAGGATCTCCCCCTTGGCGCTGGATGTTCTTGAACAACGCGAGCGTGGTCGCCGGCCCCTCGTGGTGCTTCTCCCAGTCGCTGAAGTGGCTGAACGAGATCTCGGCGCAGACCGATCGCCAGTCCTTGTACCGCTCCCCGTGCTCGTCGTAGCTCACCGACAAGGCCCTCGCGTCCTCGCCCGCAGGAGGGGTCTTGGTGCCGCCGTCCAGGGCCTCGCTCAGGCGGCCCTCCAGACCCTTGTCCGCCTTCACGGCGGCGCCCTCCTCGTCCAGGATCTTGCGCACCGTCATGTGCACCGTGTCCAAGAAGGTGGCCACGTCGGCGATCGGCACCCGTTTCACTGGCACCGGCCGCCGACTCACGTCCAACGCCATGGCGTAGTCACCTGCCATCTCGGCGTCTGGAGCAGGATGGCGCTCCCGACCGAAATCAGGGTGGAGCGGGTCGACGATGAGCCAGGTGACGTCCGGCGGCGGGCCAGCGGGCGCGGCCAGCGGCAGAGCCGCGGCGCCCGGCGCGACAGCAAGCCTCGCCTCACCGTCGTCCCCAGCCAAGGGCACCAGCTGCGCCCCGTCCGAGTCCATCAGCGCCTGATACTCGACCTCACTCCCGCCCCACAGGGCAATGGCCTCAGGCGACGGCCGCCGACGACGAGTGATGCCATAGGACTCGCCCTCAGCCAGCTTGATCTGCTCCACCAGGTCCGCGGCGTCGAACGCGGTGCGAAACCGGTAGAAGTGCCCCTTCATCGGCTCCAGCAGCTCGGCATCAGGGACGAGATGCACCGCCTGCACCGCGCCTGAGGTACCCCGGCGGCACCTGATATTCTCAGAGTAGCGATGCCCATCGGGAGTGGTGATGATCCACACCCCTGGCCGCACCTCCGCCAGCGCGACCCGCTCGTGCCAGTAAGTGTCGTCCTCATACCAAAGGGCAAACCGCTTGCCCGGCTTCATCTCACGCATAAACTCCTCCTCCGGCACGACGAGGCCGCTGGAGGAGAACAGCTGGTACTTCCTGTTCGACAGCATGACGCCGACGGCACCTATCGGTCAGGCGACCGAGCAGATCCCTGCCCGCCCCACCGATGAGCACCCAGAGCAACGGCCAGGCGTTCCAAGCGGCCTCCAGCGCCGCCTGCACCAAGGCGAGCTGCTCCTCCAGGCGAAGCGCCGCCGAGCGGATCTCCGCCAGCTCCTCGGGCACCTCGCCCAGGCCGAGAGCCGCAGGGCCACCCGGCGGCCCCGGGTCGGGCGCGCCGGCCACCGACACACAGTCGGGGCAGACCAGCGCCGGGCAGAATGGCGCCGGGCACACCGGCTGCGGGCAAGCAGGCGCGGGCGTCGAGCTCCAGAGCCCTAACGCCAGCAGCCCATGGACCGCGGCCGCCGCCGCGGCTGCCAGGGGCCCACGCGGGAGGCCCATGCGAGCGAACCTGTGAAAGCTTGAGCGAATATATAGTGGAATACAGGGGAGCATGGTGAAGACGCCGTTGGGTCCCTCAATCCCGTGCCCGTTTGCAAGCACACTCCGCACTAACAATACTGATAAGAGGGGTAGAGACAGAGAGAAAAGAGGGGAGAGAGAGAGAGAGAGAGAGACCAACAATAATGAGGGAGGGGGATGCAGGAAAGGGGAGGGAAAAGGGAGGAGGGGGAAGAGGGAGAGGGGATAGGGCAGAGAGGCAAGGATGAGGGAAGAGAGGAGGGAGAGAGAAGGGAGGAGAGGAGGGAGGAGGGAGGAGGGAGGAGGGAGGAAGGAGGAGGAACAGGAAGGTCAGAGCGTGAACGTTCGAGGAAGTCCTAGGCGAAAGCGCCGTTCCTGAAGGAAGTCCCGGGCGGGAGCCCACGACGGGCGGGCGATCCCCTGACGGGCGGGTCGGGCGGGTGGGACATTCAAACGGGATGCCCGAGTATGGCGAAAGCGCGGTTATTAAGTAAATTGTAGCGGCGTCCTTGGCGCAGCGTGTTTCCTGAGCGTCGAAAGCGCGATTTCTGAATCAATTGCGTAGAACCACGCGCGAGATGCAATTCCTGAATAAAATGTGAAGGGTTCTCTGGCGGGAGCGGGGGTCTTGATCCAATTGCGAGACAGTCTTGAATCAATTGCGAGGAAGTTTCAATCGGGACAACGTTATTGAATAAATTGTGAGGAAGTCTCCGATGGGAGCGGGGGACCTGACTAACTTTGCGAGGAAGTCACAGGCGGGCGCGCCGATCTTGAGTAAAGTGTGAGGAAGTCTCAAGAACGGGGGTCCTGAGTTAATTTGGAGGAAGTCTCACGCGGGAGCCGTTGTTGTTGTAATCGGAGGGCCAGGGGCCCAGTTTGAGCAACAAGATTTTCCCTGTCAAAAAACATGGTGCGAACGTCGACGGGCGCACTTTGATTGAGAACAAACAGTATGCACCGGTGTGAAAACTCAACAACAACAACAACAACAACAACAACAACAACAACAACAACAACAACAACAACTACAACTACAACTACAACTACAACTACAACAACACCAACAACAACAACAACCACAACAACAACAACAACAACAACAACAACAACAACAACAATAATCATGTTTACACTGTTCGCTATTATCTGCTCGCGTGTCATTCAATATGCATATCCCAAACCCTGGATACCCGCCCTCTTCGCTTTCGATCGTACCCCGTTTTGGGGGATATATTCATTCCCTGCCACGTGTGGTTGGTGAAGCCCTTGAAAACGAAGGGAAACAGATAACGGGAGAGAATGAGGACGAAGGGATCGGAGGAAGGGAGGGGGGGCAAAAAGGAGGGAGGACGATGATTTGCGCTGCGAGTGGCGATTCAGCTTGCACCATGGCTTGCGACAGCCATTCCAACACAAGTTAACAATCAGCTTCGCCATGGGTCGCGCCATAAACAGCGCCACGTACCACCCCTTTGAAAGAACATATCGTGGATACCCCCACGGGGAGACGTACAGCTGCGAACTGCCACCATCGGCGACAGCGGGGTCACGAAGGGCATGCATATGGGACCACGACGGGCGCGAACGAGCGGGGGCCACGAAGGGCATACATATATGGGGCCAGAAAGGGCGACAGCGGGGCCACTGAGCACAGAAAGTGGGCCACAAAGGGCAGCGAGGGGGCCACGAAGGGCGACAGCGGGGCGACGAAGGGCATGCATATGCGGCCACGAAGGGCGCGAGCGAGCGGGGGCCACGATGGGCATTTACTCCGGGGCCACAGAGAGCAGCGACGGGGCCGCTGAGGGCAGCACCGGGGCCACGAAGGGCAGCGAGAGGGTCACAAAGGGCGACAGCGGGGCCACGAAGGGCATGCATATGGGGCCACGACGGGCGCGAGCGAGCGGGGGCCACGTAGGGCAATCGTATGTGGGGCCACAAGGGGCGACGGGGGCCACGAAAAACGACAGCGGGGCCACGAAGGGCATGCATATGGGGCCACGACGGGCGCGAACGAGCGGGGGCCACGAAGGGCAGACATATATGGGGCCAGAAAGGCAACAGCGGGGCCACTGAGCGCAGAAAGTGGGCCACGAAGGGCAGCGAGAGGGCCACGAAGGGCGACAGCGGGGCGACGAAGGGCATGCGTATGGGACCACGAAGGGCGCGAGCGAGCGGGGGCCACGAAGGGCATATAATGCGGGGCCACAATGGGCAGCGACGGGGCAACTGAGGTCAGCAACGGGGCCACGAAGGGCAGAGAGGGAGCCACGAAGGGCGACAGCGGGGCCACGAAGGGCATGCATATGGGGCCACGACGGGCGCGAGCGAGCGGAGGCCACGTAGGGCATTCGTATATGGGGCCAATAAAGGCGACAGCGGGGCCACTGAGGGCAGCAAAGGGGCCACGAAGGGCAGCGAGAGGGCCACGAAGGGCGACAGCGGGGCTTCGAAGTGCATGCGTATTGGACCACCACGGGCGACTGCGGGCGGGGGCCACGAAGGGCATATATAATGTAGCCCACAATGGGCAACGACGGGGCCACTCAGGGCAGCAACGGGGTCACGAAGGGCAGCGAGCGAAGGCGACCGCGGAACCAGTACGGGCAGCGAGGGGCATCGAAGGCGGGCGAAGGGCAGCGAGCGGCGACTGCAGTCCCTAACGGGCTGGTCGGGCGAGCAGGCCCAGACGGGCGGGTCGAGCGGGCGGGTCGTTGAAGCGTAAATTCTGCTTGAACCGCCAGGCAATATGTAGCGGGAGCGCGATTCCTGAGTGTCGAGGACCGGCATCTGGATAAATTGTGAGGAAATATCAAGCGAAGCGGTTCGGTGGTAAGTTGCGAGGAGGTCCCAAGCGAGAACGCGATTCTATAATACAATTCTATAGTACATTGTCAGGAAGTTTCCGGCGGGAGCCGCGGTTCGGTGGTACATTGCCAGGAAGTCCAAAGCGAGAGCGCGATTCTTCGACAAATTGTGAGGAAGTATCAGGCGGGAGCCGTTGTTGTTTTAGTCCGGGGGAGCAACGACGCAGTTTGACCCGGACTAAGTTGTGAAGAAATCTCAAGCGGGAGCGCCGTTCCTGAGAAAATTGGGCAGGAACCTCAGACGGGAGAGTAAATTTGGAGGAAGTCTCAGGCGGGAGCCGTTGTTGTTGTAGTCCGGGGGGGCCAGTGGCACAGTTTGAGCACCAAGACTTTCCCTGTCAAAAAAAAACAGGGTGCGAACTTCGAGGGGCGCACTTTGATTGAGAACAAACAGTATGCGCTTGTGAGGGGAGATCAACAGAAGTGAGAATTCAACAATTACCCCCGTGCGACCCTACCTAGAACTTGGAACCCCTAGGAAAGCAGCATTAGTTGCTATGCTATGTTATGCAATGCTATGCCATGATATGTTGCGCTATGCTATGCTATGCTATGCTATGCTATGCTGCGCTGCGCTATGCTATGCTATGCTATGCTATGATATGATGTGCTATGATGTGCTATGGTAAGCTATGCTATGTCACGCTGCGTTGTGCTATGCTAAGCTATGCTATGATATGCTATGTTATGCTATGCTAAGCTGCGCTATGCTATGATATGTTATGATATGAAATTATATGATATGCTATGCTGCGCTGCGCTGTGCTGTGCTGTGCTGTGCTGCGCTATGCTATGATATGCTATACTATGCTGCGCTATGCTATGCTATGCTGGGCTCTGCTATGATATGCTATGCTGCGCTATGCTATGCTACGCTATGGTATGCTGTGCTCTGCTATGATAAAGCTCCACGAAGCTAAGATGAAGGTAAGCTAGGCTAAGATAAACCTGAGCTAAGCTGAAGCTAAGCTAAGCTAAGATGAAATAAGCTAAGCTAAGATGATATAAGCAACGCTAAGCTAAGGGAACGTCACTGGGGGAACCGCGGGGCGGATCCTGGGGGAACCGCCCGGGGCGTGGAACACTGCCTGGCCCTTTAAGCCATCACGGTAAGAACCCTTCTAGGCAGAGCCTAGGTAGGGAACAACAACAACAACAACAACAAAAACAACAACAATAACAACAACAACCACAACAACAACAACAACAACAACCACAACAACAACAACAACAACCACAACAACAACAACAACAACAACAACAACAACAACCACAACAACAACAACAGCAACACAGACAACAACTGTCTGGTGTCATCCCGCTCTCTCCACGATGAAATTGTGCAGCGCCCGCCCGTGGGCGCGAGCACTGCAAATCAGAAGCCACGTGCTGCACTTCAAGATCCACCGCTCCCCCCGCTCGCCGCAGGTGAGGTATGCACGCCCGCTGCTCCTACTTCCCAGGGCCCACCTGGAAAGGAGGCCTCCAAAGTGGCCCAAGATGCCTCCGACGTGGTCCAAGAAGCTACGGACGGCCTCACGAACTGCTCAACACGACGGCCCCACTTGGGCCCAAGATGGTTCAACGATGGCGCGGGGGCCTCCCAAGAAAGCTTCAGAGGAGGATGAACTCACTAAAAGAACTAGTTGTGTTCCGCTGTGTTGGGTTTTGGTGCAGCTTCTCTTTTCAAATCGGACTTTAAAACCACCCCGATGGGGCCCATGATAAACTCAAGGAAGCCCTGACGGGGCCCAATAGCAGCCCAACAGGGCCCCAACTGGCCCCATGAGGGCCCCGACAGACGCCCGAAAAGGCCCAGACAGGCCTCGAGAGGCTCTCACACTAATCCTGGGGAAGCCCAAGAGGATACCGGCTGACTTCAGGAAATCACCCCACAGTTTGCCAAGACAGGCCCACGAAGGCTCTGAGCCCCAAGGAGGGCCCAACAAAACCCCCCAAACGATTCCGACACTACCCAAGAGGGACCCGAGATGGCCCCGATCTGCCAAAAAATCATCGGGAACACGCGCATCAAGGCTACTCGCATGGCCTTAGCGACGCGTTGACTGGGAGATGCGCGCGCTGAATTGCGTTAGCCCACTTAAGAAG